GACCCGTCTTTCCTATGGCTGGGATATACAGCTCTACTCTGAAGACCCTGGAGGATTTAACTTTGGACTCTGGTTATGGGGCAGGGGATTCCTGCAGGTCCCTTAGTCTCTCTTCTTCCAAGTCCAACTCCCAAGCCTTCACCTCTTCTCAGCACAGAGGCAACTGGTGGTACTACTCGGGCTCCATGAACAGTAGGAATAACAGCTGGGATACCGTGAACACCGTCCTGCCGGAAGACCCCGAGGTTGCAGAAATCTTTTCCAAGTGTCCTAAGCTGCCGGATCTAGAGGAATATCCTTGGACCGATGAAGACATCGGAAAAATACTCCGCAAAGGAAAGGGAGATGTCCATAGCAGAACCTTTTCTCAGGAAGCTGTCAGGCGGCTCTCGCAGCTGCTGAGACGAGCCCTGATCAGGGTCTCCAGGGAGGCTCAGCGGCTCAGCGTGATGCACTCCAAGTGCACCAGGTTTGAGGTGCAGAGCGCGATCAAGCTCATCCAGAGCTGGTCCTTGTCGGAAAGCTGCGTCTTGGCCTCTGTCAAGGCTCTCTCTCTGTACAGCATGAGTGCTGGGGATGGACTGAGGAAAGGCAAATCGGCTAGGTGTGGCCTCACCTTTTCGGTGGGGAGGTTTTTCAGGTGGATGGTGGACACGAGGATCTCGGTTAGGATCCACGAGTATGCGGCCATCTCTTTAACCGCTTGCATGGAAAACCTGGTGGAAGAGATTAAGGCTAGGGTTTTGGCAAGTCAGAGCCCGGATGGTGGAGGGGAGATCTCGGCTGAAATCCTGGAGATGGTTATCAACAACGATGCGGAACTTTGGGGAGTGTTGCAACCTTACGAGCATCTCATCTGTGGGAAAAACGCTAATGGTAAGATCCTGCTTTTACCATTTCTTGTCTTCATACCAGCAAGCTTTACGGTAAAATCCTTGATCTCTGTGGACTTGGGTTTTTTTTTTTGGTTTGTCTTTTCATCTGGATTGCATCTCGATCGTGGTTTGTGTGTGAGTAAAGCAGGCACGACGGTTTTACCAGGCAAGAATGGCCCTGCTCTGTTCTGATGATGTACCAGTTTATAAAAGGCACAGAGGCTGTGGGAAACCAAGCCCTGTTGTCCTAACAAACATCTGACTTTCTACCAGCTGCTGTTTTGAGCATTTTTTCTCTAACTGGCGTGTAAACATGCTCCTCTGTAACCATAAGATCTCATGTGCCCTTCAGAAAATGCCACTATTGCTTTGAAACAAAATGTATATTACAGTGAGTTTCTTGCAGTTTCATCTCAGATGCTGTTCCCACATACAGCCTGGAGAGGGAAAACAACAGGCATGTTTTTTCTTTGCAGTAGTAAAATTCAGGTTTTGAGCAAAAACTTATAACTACTTGTGACTTGAACTTCCTTCTAGTTCAGCAAAAAAACTGTGTTGTCTCTCCTGAGGTAAACACGAGCTGTGCTTGGCTTGCCCAAGTGAGTAGGATGGTGCTGCCTCAGTAATCAGGATAACAGCATTAAGGTGCTCACCTCTAGTTTGTTTGGAAAGCAGATTTTTTGAACACTTAAGCAAATAAGCAGATAGAGGAATGTCTTCCTACCAGGCTGAGGAGTCTTAAGCCGTGACAGTTGTGTTAAGAAGCTGCATAAACACGAGCTGTGCTTGGCTTGCCCAAGTGAGTAGGATGGTGCTGCCTCAGTAATCAGGATAACAGCATTAAGGTGCTCACCTCTAGTTTGTTTGGAAAGCAGATTTTTTGAACACTTAAGCAAATAAGCAGATAGAGGAATGTCTTCCTACCAGGCTGAGGAGTCTTAAGCCGTGACAGTTGTGTTAAGAAGCTGCACTGTTTATTTTGCACTGTCACATGGAGAAATACCATATTTTCCCATGGAAATTTCAGAGAAACATTCAGTTTAGAAAACTCTTTTGTGTACCACCCACAGTTTCATGACTTTTGCTGGTCAGCTGTTCCATGCTGAATACCTTTCTGATTTAACTCTCTGAAACCAAGTGACTTAGTCTCTTTTCAAAAGAAAATCTCAGAGCAAGAGACACAAGTAAAGGAACTGATTTTTCTCTGGGGAAAAAACACACCTTAGGTGAGTGTTAGCAATGAAACACTTTGTCAGAGAAGGGCTGACTCACCTTCTCCTCCCTGGGTGCACCGATTTCCTGTGGTTATCCTATACTCAAGCAATAATGTCACAATTCAGATCACTACTAGGAGGTAAGTGCAGTGGCTGTCCCGTGGCTCGGATTCCAAGGTAAGGGGATGAGTGCCACTAACTGCTCACAAAACCTCTCTTGTGCACTATCTGCCCTCTGACAGCGTTACTAAATGTTTGTGAAATAAACGTGAAGAGCCCCTTGGGATGTTCTCTTGGCACTGGTTCAAGGCATAACTGTAGCTTTAAACGTCAAGCACAGACATCTACGTTCTTAACTATAAGACTAGAGAGGTATGAGGATGTTTGGCTGCCAAAACACTTGTAATTCTTTGTTTATCACAGGTCCAGAAAGGGGACTCATTTCCACTCTCTTGTTCCTCGTTTAGGGAAGCTGGAGTAAAATATTGTGATCCTGTCAATGAAAATACACATTTCAGCTGTTCTCTGCTCACAGGTTCTGTGTGCAAAATGAAGAGTCCCTCACAGAGCTTTTTTTTTTTTTTTTATAATATCTCTTTCTTGAGAGCACTCCCCCTGGAAAAATTGCAATGAATGAATGGCTGTTGGTGCTCAATGGAAACGAGTGACTGTGCAGGGAAATGCTTATAAATATTCAAAGCACCAAATGGTCAGTTATGATAACACTCCTACAGTGTAATGCCAAGCAGCCAGTGGCCACAGAAGGATTGGCTTCTGGTGCCTCTTTTGTTGTTCCTGCCTTTAGATCAATTCTGTCAATAATTGAATGCATTTTTTTGAGGCTGGAAATTGAATAAAACCACACATGAAGGCATCCTGTGATTTCCTGTGACAGTCTGTCACTAGTGTTTTACCTGACACAAGTCAGTGAATCTTCTAAATGGCTTTTCTTGCAGTTGTAAGATCACAAATGGTTTTATATGGATGCAGAAAAGCTTGAAATAACTTCCTTATTCTTCTCCCTGCAGGAATTGTAAATGAGTAGGATTCACATCATGCTCCACAGTGCTTTCAAATGGTCCTGTCTTTTACATTAATTTAAATCTGAAGTAGATCTAGTGGTGAAATAAGTGGATTTATTCCTGTTTAAGGAACAGGAAATCTTGCTTTACTGTCACTTTTGTTTCTAGTGGAGTACTTGAAAATTGCAAACTTGGCGTGTGTTGGGCTTTGTTTTATAGCCCTGAGTTTGATGTTAGAGATAAAAGCACTTAGAGGTTCAGTTTTAACTCCAGTCAAGCAGTGCAATCTCTGGATGAAATCCATGGCAGTGTCCTATGCAGGAGATTGCACTGGATTATCATAATGGACATTTCTGGCATTATGATCTATTGAATACCATTTTCATTATTAGATCAGGACAGCCTGCTGCTTTGGAGTCTAAGAAACAGTAAGTAAATACATAAATCTTCCTAAAGTCTCAAGAGACTGAGGTTTAGACCTGTGTTTCTTCAGTCACTAATCTTCCCTCAAAGACCATTGTGCAGTCACTGGTCTGAAGGTTTGAGGGCCAAAAGTTGTCCATTATAACAAATGAGTTTTAATCAGCACTTGGTGTATGAAGGGGAAAGTTTAAATCTCTAAATGCTTAAGGGGGAATTTTAATATTATTTTTTTAATAAATAATAATCTCTGGCTTGTTTATTTATTTGCCCTTTCTGTGAAAATGTTCTTTAATCAACTTTTTGCTGCTTTTATGAGACGTTTTCTGCTCTCGGTGTGAGTTCTGACTTGATGCCTGGGACTTGGTGTCTCTGCCTTGGCAGGAGGAATGTCATCTGAGCTGGAAAGAGTTCTGCCAGTCTCTGTGGGTGTGTTAGTGCTTCCAATGGTAAAGTCTTTTTGGACAGAGTCTAAGTGGGGTGTTGCAAAGATAATGCAATCCAGGCTGGAAAGAAAGTGAAACAAAAGCAGCAAAAATGATAAGGAGCTACTGAATAACATATCTACTGGAAGGTTAAAACAAAGCTCTGTAATTGGAATTCATGCTTTATTTTCTCTCTTCAATTACACGGAGCTCTGATAGGCAGTGGTTTGACACATCTAATATAGAAAACACATCTGCTAGTGTCACAGCGATTTTAAGACATGATAATTTGTAATATTAGTCAAACGTTTTCAATGAATGGAGGCATGAGTTGAAATATGAACTTACCTCAGAAATGTGATTCTTTACTTGATCTGCCTATGTTTGGTGCCTGGTTCATTAGAATCTGAACTGTCAGCTCTGCAAATATATTTTGATGTTATTGCCCTATTAACTACAGCACTTAGGTTGTACTCAACTATCATCTGGTTATGACCAACCACTCCTGTGACCCCAGTACACCTGCTGTGCTGTTTAATGCACCAGCACATCCTGGTGCTCTGCAGATAGGAGTGTTGACAGATGTTTTGGAAAAAAAAAAAAAAGAGAGAAGGGTTGGAATTTAGCTTGATAACACTGTTTCTTCATGCACCTCTTAGCACAAACACTTGAAGTTCTCAGTGGATGAACTAATCCCAAATGAGCCTGTTGGCTCACTCCGCTGATGAGGAGGAGAAATAGCATCTGAAATGAACTCTGCTTGTGTCTTAAGGCATTTTTCTTAGAAAGAGGCTGAGAGGGGGAATGTGTAACCTTTCCTCAGAGTGGGAGGGAATGGTTTGGACTCAATAAAAATTAAACCAGGGATGAATTTTCTTCTGTCTATGACACACCTTACCACACATGAACTTGGGATTTAGTGTCCTTAACCCCATCTTTTTGATTCTCACTGCACAGACACGGGTTAAAAATTACAGCCAATTTTAACATTTTTAGAGCTGTGCCATTATAAAAACTCATTTTTATAGTTATCCAAATAGTCTGAGAACTTTTATTTCAGTGTGGTCGTGGTGCTGTACTGAAATCCACCATGGGGAAAAATAATGACATTTCAGTAAGCAGAATGTCCTTTTGTTATCTGAGCTGAACAAACTGGTGTGCTCATCAAGAGCCTCATCAATTTTAATAAGCTATCAGCTCTGCAACTATTGAGGAAAGCACTGCATGGTGGCAGGGGTGCATTTTGGGGAAGAGAGCTGTAAATGCAATCAATAAACCAAGCTGAGGAGAAATACAGAGCTAGCACAGTGGTGCTGCAGGTGGCTTGCAAATCATTTAAGACAAAAATAATCAAATAACTCTGTATTCTGTGTCACCATATCTGAAGCAGTAGTTTGAAGCAGCACTGGGGATTCCTGGGCAGGAATTTGATAGATTTACCTATGGTTTTCCATGTTAGATGAGCTGGTTGTGGCTATGATCCTGTTTGAACTATGGCTTCATTCACCTCTGGACCCCCCAGCATATCTTGTGTGCTTCTACTCCTACACAGTCAAGAGCTTGGATTTATCTCCACAAACCCACAGGGATAAATTCTTTAAGTCTAAATATTGATGCTTGTACATACATGTTCACCTCTCCTGCAAACACAAACCACGAGATGCATATCTGCAGATGTCTGTAATTGTGCATCATGTTAAAGTGTAGAGCAAGTAAACCTGAAATGTCTGTGTTTTCCCCTAAAGGACAATTTTCTGTGTGTCTCTATTTCTGTGTTTTATTCAGTGATAGTAAAGGAGAACTTCATTAATGAAGTAATGATGGTGTCTTAGGTTAATCCTTTGTATTGCTGATATTACCCCTTGGCAATAAAGTTTGTCCTTTCAGTTCAGCTGGTTAAGGTGCTGAAACTCCCTCAGT